GTTACGTTATGTGAGCTCGTCTTTGACCATAATAAATTATCTATCTATCTAACACAGGTGAGCATGGCAACTGCTACTTTTGAGGGGGTAAGCCATAATGTGACTATTAGTGTGGATGCACCCCATAAGTGGGGGGGGGGGACTCATGAGAGAATAGGTGCTTAGCATGCAGAAGATTCCACATTCAATTCCTGGCATCTTCATTTTGGGAGAGGGGGAGGTTCAGCTAACAGGTGATGGGAAAGACCTCAGCTTTACACACAGGAAAGCCACTGTAGCTGACCTGGCAAAGTCAGGGATTTGCTAGTATCCCAAGGACACAAGAAGATCCACTACTCTAACTGTGCCATCACTCTCACTCTCCATAGGCGCCCAAGAAGACCAGACACTTCCTAAACGAACTACCGTATTTTTCGCTCTATAGGACGCACTTTTTTCCCTTCAAAAATGAAGGGAAAATGTGTGTGCGTCCTATGAAGCGAAGACGCCATAGCCCCGCGACCCTCTCCCGGCTGGAGGGTGACGGGCGGCTGTTGAGGCTCTTGCCATAGCCGCCCATCACCTCTCCAGCCGGGAGAGCGCGCGCAGGGCTAAAGCAGCCCCCGTGACCCTCTCCCAGCTGGAGAGGTGACGCGACATAGCCGCCCGTCACCTCTCCAGCCGGGAGAGCGCGCGCGGGGCTAAAGAAGCCATAGCCCAGCGACCCTCTCCCGGCTGGAGAGGTGACGCACGGCTATGGCAGGAGCCTCTCCGCTGCGCCTTTCCGCTGCTCCTCTGAACTGCTCTTTGGGGCTGGTGGTGGGCTTCCCCCTGCCAGCCCCAAAGAGCAGGTCGAGGAACCTGAAGCCTGGAGAGCGAGTGGGGTCTGTGCACACCGACCCATCACGCTCTCCAGGCTTCCAAGGTAGCTGCCTGAACGCACCTTAAACGGCACCTTGTTTTAGAGCGGGAAAACAAGAGGGGGAAAGTTCTCCCCTCTCTGCTCAGCGCCTCCTGCCACTTCGCTGAAGGGGCGCTGGGCAGAGAGGGGGAGAATTTTTTTTCTTGTTCTCCCCCCTCTAAAACAAAGTGCGTCCTATTGTCCGGTGCGTCCTATGGTGCGAAAAATACAGTAAATGCTCAGGTTTCAATTCAAAGTGTTGGCATTGACCTTTAAAGCCCTAAACAGCCTCAGCCCAGTATACCTGAAGGAGCGTCTCCACCCCCATCGTTCTGCCCGGACTCTGAGGTCCAGCGCTGAGGGCCTTCTGGCGGTTCCCTCATTGCAAGAAGCAAAGTTATAGGGAACCAGGCAGTGGGCCTTCTCGGTAGTGGCGCCCGCCCTGTGGAATGCCCTCCCATCGGATGTCAAAGAGATAAACAACTACCTGACATTCAAAAGACATCTTAAGGCAGCCCTGTTCAGGGAAGTTTTTAATGTGTGACATCTTAGTGTATTTTTGGTCTTTGTGGAAGCCGCCCAGAGTGGCTGGGGAAACCAAATAATAAATTATTATTAAATTATTATTCATCCTTCCTATAGGTTAAAGAGTTCCAATGAGGTGCCATGTCTGGTGACTCCCAGATTCCTGGAATTAGCACTTGCTGCCAATTCCAGAGGAGACCAAATTTGGCTAAAAGACTCAATAGTCTTGCCTGATAAAACGCGTGCTTCCTTGCTTGGCAACTTGGCTGACCCAGTTGACGAGACTGGCAATTCAGTCTTGCATAAACAAGGACAATGGGACTGTGTCCTCAAGTGCACCCAAATGCATACCCTCCAACATTCCTCAGACGAAAATAGGTACATTCCTCACCCCCAACTGACCCTCCTTGACCTCCCATTTTTTGTTGCTGCCCACCCCCCGAGCATTTCCTATCAAATGAAGGGCAAGTGCCACCAGCACTTGGGACACAGCACACACAACCACCGTCCGGAGAAAACCCCTTCATCCCAATTTTATTTTATTCTTTGGTAGATTTACAAAAAGAAAAAACACACGGCAATAAACAAATTTTAGAAAGGGACAAGATTAGGGGCAACACTTCACTGCACAGCCACTCCCCATCTTCCACCAGCTGTTACCTGAGGCAGGTGTTGCACTATACCTAATGATAGAACCGGCCCTGCATGGCAAATAAATTTGCTGACAGGGTGGAATGCAGATTGCGTGGCGATTCCCGCCCCCTCCCACAGATGGAGTAAATAAAGACACCGGACACCAGAATTAAGGTTAATGGGCGAAAATGGCCACAACTTTATTGATTACAGGTAAGAGTGGTATTGGCTTTAGGCATTGGCCCTAACATACTATCCGGTCTAACCGGGAAGGGTTAAGCACCAACAGGGGGAGCCCCCGAGATGCACATCCGTAGGTGCTCCCCAAGGGGTTACCGCTCGGGAGCGCGCTTTAGGCCCTAGCCTCCGTAGGTTTCGGACGAGGCGACGCCCCCCGGAGTCCTTTAACGAACTACCCTTCAAGATGTGGGGGAGGTGATGGCGTTCCTCCCCCCCCAACCTCATTTGCATAACAATACCCCTGCCAATGCCTAACCGCCAAAACCAAGGAGTTGTGACATTTTGCTACGAGGTAGGTGAAAAAAATCAAGTGGCTTCAAATCACAGCCAATTAGCCAAATGGAAAAACTCCTACCAGGCCCCTTGCGGCGACCAGCCGAAGCCCATAGCAAAGTCCGGATGCAGCCTAGAGGGAGGGTGGGTGGGAAACCGCTGCTGCTGTAGAGAAGAAAAGGGGTGAGCCAGGGCTGCCCCGACCTTAAGAGCACCTAGGTAAGCCCGCCCCTACCGCCAGCTGATTGGCTGGCCCGAGGGTGATGAATATTAATGAGACTGGGGAATCCCTGAGTCCCGCGGGGCTGCCGTCAGCCCCGCGAGAATGTAGACAGGGGCGTGAGCCCGCAACCCCCCCTCCTTAGGTCGGGAGTGGCTTTGTGCAGCCATTAGCCTTGTTAGCATAGCTTTTGCCAACTTTTAAAAGGGGTTGTGTGTGTGTGACACACACTGCATCATCCCTCTCTTGAAAAGCACTTTGCCCAGAAACGGAGAGGTGGCACTTTGTGGTTTCCCCCAAAAAACATGTTATTTTCCACAAAGGGTGGCTTGTGGGTTCCCTTTTTCATTTCTTTTTTAAAATAGTTTTTATTAAAGGTTTTCTTGTGTTAGAAAACAAACAAGGAAACAAGGAAACAAAGAAACAAGGGAAAGTACATATAGTGTCTCTATTTTTGATTCGCAGACTCTTTTCCACAGTTTGTTTATGTTTGGTATGAGACACTATTGTCATAGATATTGTGCGGTTGGAAGGAAAGGGAAGAGGAGGGAGAGAGGGAGGAATAAAGTTATTTCATTCCATTGCATTTTGTTCAGACACCATTTTAAGCTAGACTCAAGTATGTCTTTGTAACCGAATTACCATTTTAAGCCTGCCTGAACGAAGCTGCTGTATCTGTTGCTCTTCGGCAAGCATTCTGAGTGAGTAAATGCTATTTTTACCTTTTACAGGACTGTGTAGTTGTTGTTTTAAGGAGGAGAGAAGGGGGGGATACCAGGAGAGTCCAGTCAGCTTTAAAGAATCCTGGATTACTTAAACTAAAAGGCTAAAACTAGCCTATCAAAGCTTCCCTTTTCAGTTGCATAGGGATGGCGCTCTGCTGAACCCACAAATGTGAGGAAGGAAGGATAATATCTAATAAATATATCCTCTCCTAGTTCCTATTCACTACACTATTGGCTTCCTGTCCTGCATGTCGGGTTCTCAGAGGGAGCTGGCTAGGGTGGTGGTATTATTAATTATTATTATTATTATTATTTATTATTATTATTATTAAAAGAAACAGAATCTCCTATACTAGGCAGTGCATTGATCCTGCAGGGCTCTTTTTATTTACTCCCGCAATCATGTGCTGAAATTTACTGCTTGCTCCATTGCTCTCTGACCTGGGGGCTCCGTTCCATCTAATCTCCCAAATGAGTGCGAAATCAGAAATATTCTTCAGGTTTTGAGTTTTTCATTTGGCCAGCAAGACTTCTGCTATCTCTCAGAATCCACATTAGGGTGCAACGCCAGCCTTATATTTATTGAGGCTGTGACATACCATCCAGCAGAATTTCCACTCCCACGTCGACTCGCAGCAATAAAAGCAATGAAAACAAAACAATAAAACATTGCAGCCACTTTGAAACCCAGCTGAAACAGCAGAGTACTTTAAACATAAGGACATAGCTGCAGGGGAATAAATCTGCCTTAAACAGTATTTAAAAGGCCTGACTAAATAAAAAGGTGTTTGTCTGGTGCACAAAAGGCATCGGAGTGGATGCCATGGGAGACTGGAGAGAGCTTCTGTAGATGACGCACCACAACTTAAAAGGCCCTGCCTGTGGTTCCTCAATGGTAGGGGAAAGCACTCTGGACATGCTCAGTTATTAGGGCTTACCTAGGGTTGCCATATTTCAATAACGTAATTTTTGAGCTATTTTAAAGGAAACGCTCCAAAAACTACACTTCCAACATGGGTTGCCATACATCCGGATTTTCCCCGGACATTTCAGCAATTTCTGCCTTGACGCTGTTTCCAACGGCCAAATCCCAGCTATGTCTGGGAAATTCTGGACGTATGATAGCCCTAGCTTGCCCCATTTTCTAAAACTGACCTGATACTGGCATTGAATCCTGAGTGAACCCTTATCAACGGCACTCAGCCCCTGTTCAGTCAAAACTAACTCCATTGATGATGGCTGGTTAGTCCCATCCCTAAGCTTAGTGTATTCTGCCAAGTCTTGTTCCAGAGTCTATGTCCAAAGACCAAAAGTGGGGAACCAAGGGCCATATTCCCTTCTGGATAGCCTTCCAGGGGCCACATGTCAGTGGTGGGTGAGGCTAGAGGCAACAATTCCAAGCTTTGCCTTTGTACAGTAGGATAGTTTCTCTACATACTCACACATCCTTCTTTGTCATTCATCCAGGCAAACAAGAAGCATTTTCAGACTTCAAAGAGACTTTCTGGTAACCTCTAGGTTGGATTACTGCAATTCGTAATACGCAGGACTGCATTTGAAGACGGTTCAGAAACTTCAGCTGGTGCAAAATTCATTGGCCAGATTGCTCACCAGCATGAGACAGTCTGAGCATATAATGTCGATCCTGGCCCAGCTGGCTGGCGTTTGGTTTCCGGGCTCAACTCAAAGTGCTGGTGCTGACCCATAAAGCCTTCCATGGTTCAGGACCTCAATGCCTTTAGGACCACTTCTCCCCATAGGAACCAACACAGACCTTCACTTATCATCCAAGGCCCTTCTCTTTCCCCTCTCATACCTGAGAGGTTCGGAGAACGGGCCTTTTCTGTGGTGGCTCCCCATCTGTGGAATGCTCTCCCCAGAGAGGCCCACCTGGTGCCATCATTCCATTCCTTTTTATGCAGGCCTTTGGCCATTCAGTAATCTATGGCCTGGTACAGCTGTGTGGGGACGACTGTTATTATGCTGATTTTATTATGATGCTGTCCATTATGATGCTTTTTTTTATTCTTATTTTTATGCTCCACAAAATGTGTTCTTAATGTAGTACACTGCCCTGGGATCTTTTGATAAAGGGCAGTATATAAACTGAATTATCAACAAGTGTTGGCTTTTTGCAGTATAGTAACGCTGCAGAGAGCTTGCTGGGGAGACCACGCATTAAAAAGGACTCAAAAATAACTTAAACAAGGTTTTAATAACAAAAACAAAAACTCCTTAAACACTAAATACATCAACAACAAACCAGACCCAACCACCAACCCATCCCCCAGGGTAATGGGAGAGCTAGGTGCTGCTCCTTATATACTACACCCAATTACCAACACAGCTTAATCAATACAACTCAACAGCCCCTTCTATGTTTCACAGCTGTAAAGCTGGGTCTCCTTATCTTGCTCTGGCCCTTGCTCTGGCCCCTTAAATACATACACATCGGGTGGAACAATGATGAACCTTTACATTTAAAGAAACAATTCAACAACAAGAACAACTTAATAATATTAATTTCTACCCAGGCAAAAACATTCAAAATCTGAACCCATGGTGTGACAAGTAGGGATGGGTGGTCTGCCAATTTTGATTTCTTGTTTTTCTGGTCTTAAATTTCCACCAGTTTGTGTATTTTATTTTATTTTGAAGAACATGATCTTGAAAATTCATCACCATTATAGTGCAAATTTCTCCAATTATACACCTATATATATTCACCTCCTATATATTCTCATTATTATCAAGTGCTGGGAGGGGGGTGGTGAAGGGTGCTGTGAGCCTTTTGCCTTCCCTCCCAGCCAGAAAGACGAGGCAACTTCTAGCTAAGAGTTAAGCTGTGTGCCCATCCAACCATTTTATGCTGTGTGTGTGTTTGTGTGTCAGTAACCACTAGTGCGTGATCACAAGGAGGCTATATAAATATATGTCAGAAACATTTACAAATCCCGAAAGTCTGACTTATGCCAACAAGATAAAGGATTTATATGAAAAATTCATCCATCATTCATTATTATCCTGCTTTAAATAAAATTGCCCAGGCTTCCAATCAGAGGGTAGGGACGAGACCACGGGACATCTGTGACAAATTGCAAGCTGTGACTATAATGAATAGATTAGTGGACCTTGTTGAATAAGCCATTGGATGGGATTCATTTGCATAAGGCAGCCAGAGAATAAATACATATTTTTATTAGCATTAGTGCTACCGGAGTATCATCTCTGGTAAACCAGCACCTGAGGGGCCTTCCTACAGTAGGAGCAAAGTGGCTTTTGATGGGATTGTTTCGGAGACCCATCATCTAGTGGCAAAGAGAAAGGGCCTGTAGCAGGGTGGGAAAGAGAGGGGGGAGGAGGAGAAGAGAAGAGATCTACACAGAGTCCACTGAACGCTACAGGCGGAAAGATAAGACAATTAAAGAGGAGCGTGACTTACTGTGAATAAAAAGGTCGCAGGCAATGCAAGGGCTTCTTATGGGTGCCAAGGGGGGAAAGGAAGGCCACGGAGAGAGCAGGGTATTAACAAACGAGCCTGGTCTGGAGTGGATGAATAGCTTTTAAACGGCTGTTACCCAATTGCTTTTTTGTTTTGTTTTTAATAAATTGCTCTTTAGGAAGATAACTAAAGAGAAGAGGCAGCGGACAATTAGGAAGTAATGAAGACCTTGTAAATACACTTACCGATAAAAACGCACGTAGGAGAATGCTTGAGAAAGCAAACATATACATATCGGCAGTTGGTCTAGGCAAGAGGCTGCGGGAATTATTAAAGGAGTTGACTGGGAGAGCCGAGGTTCTTTTATCCTCACTCTCTCTTGCATTAAGCTGTAAGTATTGCTGGCGAGAGCTTAGCATGATTTTGTGAACCTCAGTCAAGATTTAGGTTCACAAAAGACAGACACCGGTGGCTTGAGAGGACGAGACCAATAGTGGGTCCAGTGATCAAGTAGGGTTGTTTTGAATTCCTTTTGGGAATTAATAGGGACTTGTTGTTGTTTAGTTGTTTAGTCATGTCCGATTATTCATGACCCGATGGACCAGAGCACGCCAGGCACTCCTGTCTTCCACTGCCTCCCGCAGTTTGGTCAAACTCATGCTGGTAACTTCAAGAACACTGTCCAACCATCTCGTCCTCTGTCGTCCCCTTCTCCTTGTGCCCTCCATCTTTACCAGCATCAGGGTCTTTTCCAGGGAGTCTTCTCTTCTCATGAGGTGGCCAAGTATTGGAGCCTCAGCTTCAGGATCTGTTCTTCCAGTGAGCACTCAGGGCTGATTTCCTTAAGAATGGATAGGTTTGATCTTCTTGCAGTCCATGGGACTCTCAAGAGTCTCCTCCAGCACCATAATTCAAAAGCATCAATTCTTCGGCGATCAGCCTTCTTTATGGTCCAGCTCTCACTTAACAGGGACAGAACTACCCAAACGGTACAGAAACTTATTCATGTATGGTACTACAGTGGCAAGAATATTACTTGCCCCAAAACGGGAAGAAGTAGAAGTCCCAGCAAAGGAAGAATGGATACAAAAACTTATGGAATATGCAGAAATGGTGAAACTTACCAGAAGAATAAGAAAATACAATTAAAAAATTTTATATAAAAGAATGGAAATGGTTTATGGAATATTTACAAGCGCTTCTGCGCATGCATAAGTGAGGAAACCCAGAAAAATACTTCGGGGTTTTCCGGTTTTGCAACCCAAAGTTTACATTACCTGAGGGTAACGTAAGCTGGGGGTCCACTGTACATGAATTGCATTGCCCTTGCATTATTGCACCCCGTTCATTTCAACACAATGGGAATGCACTGCAAATGGTGTGGGTGGGAATAATTTATTATGCATTGCTTACTGACGGAAAGAAACAACTACAGCAAATACTGTTTGCATTTCCGTTCTGGACATGGGATGCATAAGCAAACACCAGCGATTTCTGCTCCCATTTCAGCTGGAATTCTCCGGCATCTGTAACCAGAGTGCATTGAGTTGTTTGGGCACAGATGTGTGTTCAAAGAAGTTAGCCATAGAGGAGGACCACCGATAAGGCAGGGTGAAGGACCCACCTCAGGTAGCGGGACTGCAAGAAGCTGTGTCCTGCCCACCACTCCCGACATTGCCAGAACACCTCCCTCGTGCCAGCAAGAGGAGGGCATTCCTGCACGCTGCGTTGCCGCTTGTCTTCCCTGTCTGTGATGGAGAATACAAGCAACAATGCCTTGCAGAGCACTCCGACTCTCACCATGGTTGGCGAGAATGTGGAGTTCCTGCATGAAGCATTGCTGCCTGTCTTCTCCACCCTGGGGAGCTGAAGACAGGCTGCAATGTCTTGTGGAGTGCCCCAGCCACTCTTACTGAGTTTGGGAGGGTGGGTATTCCAGCGGTGTCAGTGAGGGGCACATTTCCCTTTTGCTTCAGCTGGCAAAATGGGATCCCCCCCCCCCAGTTAGTCATCAGGCTCAATAACAATAAGAACCACCATGCAAGAACATCCCATGGACACGAATAATAATAATAATAATAATAATAATAATAATAATAATAATAATAAATTTTATTTATACCCTGCCCTCCCCGGCCAGAACCAGGCTCAGGGCGGCTAACAACAGTAAAATTACAGTAAAAACATAATGGGGGGGGGGGGAGAAAAAAAACGAATTTAAAATACAGCTTAAAATGCAATTTAAAATGCAGCCTCATCAAACCATAAGGGGAGGGAAACATAAGGGTCAGACTGAGTCCGAACTGAAAGCCAGGCAGAACAGCTCTGTCTTGCAGGCCTTGCAGAAAGATGTCAAGTCCCGCAGGGCCCTAGTCTCTTGTGACAGAGCGTGCCACCAAGTCGGGGCCAATACTGAAAAGGCCCTGGCCCTAGTTGAGACCAATCTAACCACCTTGGGTGGGACCTCCAAAGTGTTGTCATTTGTGGACCTTAAGGTCCTCCGCAGGGCATACCAGGAGAGGCGGTCCCGTAGGTACGAGGGTCCTAGGCCGTGAAGGGCTTTAAAGGTCAAAACCAGCACCTTAAATCTGACCCTGTACTTCACCGGGAGCCAGTGCAGCTTGAAAAGCACTGGGTGAATATGCTCCCATGGCAGAGACCCCGTGAGGAGCCTCGTTGCAGCATACTGCACCCGCTGGAGTTTCTGGGTCAGCTTCAAGGGCAGCCCCACGTAGAGCTAGTCCACCACCTCTTTCATACAATATCCAGCCAAACCTCTGACATGCCCACAAACCAAGGAACAAAGTGCAGCAGCCCTACACCTGGTATTTAGAGGGAGAATGGCCTCTGAAAATGGGGAATATGTCAATTTATTTATTATGGTGATGAACTGTTGACAGACCTTACCAAAACAAAACAAAAAACCCAAAGCGATCTGCTCCTGATACTCAAGGGCAGGGCAGGAGGCCGGGGGGGGGGGGGTGTTTCACCTCCACAATTTAGAAATCCATTTGTGGTCTTGGTGAAGTTTGCCACCTTAAACCCTGCACTTCATTACAGAAGCAGCAATTATCCTGGATGGCTCTGGGCAGGATTCTTGTACCCACCAACCTCCAGATCTACATTTCCAAGTTCTTCATTACTAAATCGCACCCAAGGCAGTCTCCTCTTGTTTACACCATCCAGCTCTCCTCCAGGACAAAAGGTTAACCCTTTCTACTACACCGCGGGCGGGTGTGGGGGACTCCCTTGTCCTGAACTGGGTAACTGTGCCCCTGAAGGACCAGGTGTGCAGCCTGGGGGACATTTTGGACTCACAGCTGTCCATGGAGGCACAGGTCAATTCTGTGTCCAGGGCAGCTGTCTACCAGCTCCATCTGGTACGCAGGCTGAGACCCTACCTGCCCGCAGATTGTCTCGCCAGAGTGGTGCATGCTCTAGTTATGTCCCGCTTAGACTACTGCAATGCTCTCTACATGGGGCTACCTTTGAAACTGCAATTAATCCAGAATGTGGCAGCTAGACTGGTGACTGGGAGTGGCCGCTCCCAGTACGTTTCCGAGCACAATTCAAAGTGTTGGTGCTGACCTTGAAAGCCCTAAAAGTCCTTGGTCCTTTTTTTAAAAAAAAAAAAAAGATATTTATTAAGATTTTCAAAATATTACAAAATGAAAAAAGAAAAAAGAAAAAATACAAAATAAAAATAGTTAAAAACAACTCAATCTTTTCATTACTTATCTTTCATTGGCTTGTTTCCCGGACCTCCTCGCGCCTCCCTTTTTTGTATTCCAATTCAGTTTGTTAGTTCAGCAAATCCTTCCCCTCTTTGTTTATCCTAATCTTTAATCTTATAATATTGTGACATTGAATTTTAACCTATTAATAATCCATTTTTCATATTCCCTTATAATACAGCTAAAAACCACTTAATTTCTATCTAACATCATTCTAACATTCATTAATTTTGCAATATTTCTGTAGATAGTCTTTAAACTTTTTCCAATCTTCTTCCACCGACTCTTCTCCCTGGTCTCGGATTCTGCCAGTCATTTCCGCCAATTCCATATAGTCCATCACCTTCATCTGCCATTCTTCCAGGGTGGGTAGATCTTGTGTCTTCCAGTACTTTGCAATAAGTATTCTTGCTGCTGTTGTGGCATACATAAAGAAAGTTCTGTCCTTCTTTGGCACCAATTGGCCGACTATGCCCAGGAGAAAGGCCTCTGGTTTCTTCAGGAAGGTATATTTAAATACCTTTTTCATTTCATTATATATCATCTCCCAGAAAGTCCTCGGTCCTGTATACCTGAAGGAGCATCTCCACCCCCATAGTCCAGCCTGGACAATGAGGTCCAGCGCCTAGGGCCTTCTGGCGGTTCCCTCCCTGCGAGAAGTGAGGTTACAGGGAAACAAGCGGAGGGCCTTCTCGGAAGTAGCGCCTGCCCTGTGGAATGCCCTCCTAGCAGATGTCAAGGCAATAAGCAACTATTTTACTTTTAAAAGACAACTGAAGGCAGCCCTGTTTAGGGAAGTTTTTAATGTTTGATGCCGTATTGTTTTTAATATTCGGTTGGAAGCAGCCCAGAGCGGCTAGGGAAACTCAGCTAGATGGGTGGGGTATAAATAAATTATTATTATTATTATTACTACTATTATTTTTATTATTTAAAATGATGCAAGACTAAGCCTGCCTCATCCACTGTCCTCAAATCTGGCTACTCTGTAAAGCCACTACAAGGTCCCTTCCCCTTTTTCAATATCATATTTATTCTGGACTGTATGGGGCACACAAATACAATGCATGTGCATTCAGCATAATTTTGGGTGATTCCCCCCCCCTTTAACAAATGAGCCTGTAGTTCCAGCAGGCAGATGTGTGTATGTCTGTCCATGTGGAGATATAAATGTAGATTACATGCTTGAAAGTTACTTGCAGAACAGCAAGGGCTATGAAATGAAGCCAAGTGGTTGTTTAGATGCACCATTAGGTATCTGAGATGATAGCCTGGTGACAGATGGATTTAACAGATGACATATTGTATATACTTGCAATATATTTATAGCAATATGATACAGGATATGATCTACTGTCAGGGGTACCAGAGCTTGAATCAGGAACCTAATAAGACCCCATGAGACCTAATAAGACCCCAGAGCCTTATCCAGGGAGCAGAGGAGTGCAGCATCGCCCCCTATGATTGGCCACCAACATGAAGCTTCTGGATTGGTCATGCCGCCTGGTATAAATATTGGAGGAATGGCTGGGAATAATACCTTCTGTCTGTTTGCATGAACCCCCAGCTCCAGCAATTGACCTCAGGGCAACCTCCTGGGCAGGAAAAGTGTACCCTCATGGCCTAAATTCAGGTATAGCCACTCTGAAATTAAAACAGGCTTCACATCACTGCCCAATAGGTCAATATTGCCAGATCTATAAGTGAAGATAAGAGTCTTTCATTTTTTTTCAGCTGTTGGGAGGAGAGTTAAGTAGATAGAAGAAGAAGAAGAGTTTGGATTTGATATCCCACATTATCACTACCCGAAGGAGTCTCAAAGCAGCTAACAATCTCCTTTCCCTTCCTCCCCCACAACAAACACTCTGTGAGGTGAGTGGGGCTGAGAAACTTAAGAGAAGTGTGACTAGCCCAAGGTCACCCAGCAGCTGCATGTGGAGGAGCGGAGACGCGAACCTGGTTCACCAGATTACGAGTCTACCGCTCTTAACCACTACACCACACTGGCTCTCATGACAGGTGCCCCCTAGGAACCTGGTGCTCCCCCAAAAACTTGGGACCTGAGAAGATGGCACTTCCCACCCACCATTGACAGAACAGATGTGCAGAACAGGTGACAGGGCACCAGGCAATAGGTCAGGGAGGAGGCCCGTCCTGTAATTTAAGCCTTTACAACCAGAACAAAGCAGGAATTTTACTGATTCGTTCTCAGATATGAAGGCCACTCCGATGAGACCTGCTTCAACAAATGGAATTCTCACAGGCATTTAATTAAGAAGGTGACCCAAGACCAAAGTTCAGGGAGGTGAAGCGGCCAATGTGACTTCTTGGAACGAGAACTAATCTGAAATTTCAATTGCTCATAATTTAGAGATATGAAAGCCTTGCCTGGT